CTCATGGCATTGTTATGAAAGACCAGATGTGAAAATAATCTATTATTTTCCCATCCTCCTTCCAACATTATGTCAGCTTGTGACAGACTGCAAACATCCACTGTCTTCCTTTACTGATATGCTGTTTGCATTATTTAATGGCTTGAGTCAACACACTTTTTGAGGCTGAAACCATGTAATTTGGTGTGTACACATTAAGTTTAATTAGCTGCTTGTATCATTGATTCTGTGGTCCAGAAGAGGGGGATTTATTGTATATAGGTTTAAATGGGACATGCAGTATTGTCTGTTGAAGCAATCTCAGCTTCATCATAACATAAGTAAAGCCTCAATAAAGCCAGTGTTAGAAAGGTTTCTCTCTAGCGGCTGTTGAGCTGAAGGCGATCCTTTGACTGCATAACAGCCTGTGTTTGCTTTTCTCACATGGGCTCCAGAGCTCTCTGAACTTCACTTTCATTTCATCCAGCCTGTGGTGTTGCAGGGACTGGCTAGTTTGCATTGCAAAGAGAATTAGCTGTCTGTGCCAGCGCTCCAGCCGACATTGAACTTGGGCTGTGATTATGGCAACGGTGGCTGTCAGGGGCAACAGTTTCACAAGAAAGCATCAATGTCCTCACAAACTATAAAGACTGCAGTGCATGCAACTACCTGGTTGCTTTATTCTTAGGATACATCATGATGACATCCATTAACAAATATAACATTTAAAAAGGTTACTTGATTATATTGGGACTTAAGTTGGATTTATCTTTTCTGAGGTTGTTTTTTTAATTATGTATTTAGTTATTTGAGAATAAAGTAACTGTAATTAATTGTTCATAATTCATTAACAGATATGAAATATTTAAAATCATTATCAACTATTATATAATTAATAACAGACCGTGAGTTCAAAAGTTTGGGATCAGTAATTTGTTTTTAAGAATTTAAAGAAATGAATACTTTTATTCAGCAAGGATGTGTTGCTTGCTGTGAGTGAGAAAAAGTGATAGTAAAAGTGAGAAAAAGTGATAGTAAAGACATTGTTAGAAAATATTTCTATTTTGAATATACTGTTTTATTCATCAAGAAATCCTGAAAAAAAAGTATCACAGGTACCAAAAAAAAAAAAAAAGAAAGAAAGAAAAATTAAGCAGCACAACTGTTGATAATAAATCAGAATGATTTCTGAAGGATCATGTGACACTGAAGACTGGAGTAAAGGCTGATGAAAATTCAGCTTTGCAACACAAGAATAAATTATATATATATATATATTTTTTTTTTTGATCAAATAAATGCAGCCTTGATGAGCAAAAGATACTTCTTTAAAAACATTAAAAATCTTGCTGATCCCAATCTTTTGAATGGCAGTGTAAAATACCCCAATTTAAACAGTAAAAAAAATGATATAGTGGTTTTGTTGTGTTCACTTGTTTACCCAGCAGCTATACCAAATAATATGATATTGGTTTTTATTTGGCACTCAAAAAGGTCTATTGGAAGACAGTCACAGTCATTCAGTGAGGTCCTGTTCAAATGCCACACCACTGAAAATACGAACACAATTATGAGGTTTTATAAGCAATTTTTATACCTCTAGAGAAATGTTGGATAAAGTGGAGTGTTTAAACGGTGACCTGAATTTCAGTTAATATCATTACACATTCTAGTTAATATAGCTGTTGCAAATGTCACATCAACTTAACTCCACACTGACAGGGGTTTTCAGTGGAAATATCCTTTTAATGAACACTAATGCAAATGTGATTTTAAGTGGGTTGTAAAAAAAAACTCAGTAGAAAAAAAGCAAAGCAAAATAACATGAAAAATAAAAAATAAAATACTCTTTCCATGTGCATGTCCGTAAGAATGGTACATGTTATTTTGTTATTATGGGATACAGCATTTCTAAACAAACTAACAAATAAATAAAATAATATTTTTTTTCTGTATTGTATTTTTTATGATCTTATCATTAATCTGTGTTCTAGCACTTTGGGTTTGAGAAAAGTAGCTTATAAAATGAATTATAAATGAAATGAAATAAAATTGAAGCCATCATTATCTGTCCTTTACATACATGCCCATAACAATGGTACATATGAATTATTGCTATTAATTAAAGGATACAGAATTCTTGTCTGGGATGATAATGAACAATAATTGAGCTAAAACGAGGGTGTACTTTATTTTGGTGGTGTGTGTGTGTCTTTGTGTCTTATACATATCAGAAGATTCAGGTGGTGATGAAAGTGATCTGCACCTGCACCGCTCAAACCCCTCTGCATAGATAAACTGTTACCTCATCAGAGAACCTGGAACACAAACACACACACACACACACACACACACACTCTCGAATGGGCTCACGCGCCCACAAATATCCCAATGCACATACACTCAAGCACATTCAGACAGAAAAACATAAATATTGCTGCTGTGAGCAATTGATTAGTACAAATAACACACTACCTTTCACTAAATATAGCAGAGGCACTTCATCAGTCTGCACGAGTACAGAAGATCATTTTAGATCTGTGATGAATCATGAAGTTCTGCTGTTGTAAACACTACACATTGCGTGATGTTTTCCCCACCTAGCTTCAGCTCACAGACTAATGTTAGGTTTACCATAGACCTGACAAGTACATTCACTAAAGGAAAGTATTGGAGGGAAAAGTCTAACTTTATTGTCAAATCCAAACAAATACAATTTTCATCTGCAATCAAAGAGATTTCTAAAACATAATACTTGTATATAAAAATAAATACTGTATCATACAAAGAGTAGACTGATGACACAAAGAGACTGTGAAGTATGAAACTAGCCTGCTTCCATTGCCAGTATCTTAAGGTTTTTGTTTTGGTATAAAGAAACATGTTGATCATGATGTTGTCCCATTTTAAAATGTGACATACAAACTAACGTTTGACTGATGGATGTATTTGTTTAGACCAGCGGCAGATGGTCCGTCTCGCCTCAGCTCCCTCACATATGCTGACCTGATGTAACAGCCAGACTGGCAGCACCTGGAACAGGTTCAGCTCTATATAGCGTTCTTGGCTTCACTCATCCATGAGCATGAAAGGCAGAATGCTTCAACTGTCAGTGTGGTATGTCTATATGGACTCTTCTCAAACCCTGGCACAATATTTTCATCTGATCTCAGAGTCTTTCTTCATCCACGAGCAGGGGGGTCAGTTAAGTCAGTAACAGTTTAGACTCAAAGCTGTTTTTATGTTCTATTGCAGTAGGCCAGCACTATTCATGTCATTTTGAAAGGTCTTGAGAAAATGTCAGGTTGGCAAATCTATGAACAGTCACCACATCATATGAGCTTTTAGGAATTAAAAATACTTTAAGAAGGGACAGTGTAAATTGCAAAATTGCAAAAACATTAGTAACAACAACAATAACAATAAAACTAACACTTATGCGCTGTTCGGGGTCATTTAAGACCCCAAATGAAGGTTGCTGAAATAATAATAAAAAGTTCCCTTTATCTAAATTACTTTGTCAACACTTGCTACCTCTTAAAAAAAAAAAAAAAAAAAAAGAATGACATATGCATGTTAGTGTGAAAAAGTCACACTCAGGATGTTCGGGATCTCTGGAGACCACACATCGAAACAAATGGGAAAAAAAGATAAAATAAATATTTTTCTTTTTAAATTTGTCAAATAATATCACTAAATCAGCAATAATGCAGAACACAAATACACAGAAATTAAGTGGCAACATACATCCTCACACAGGTGTACACCCTAAACGAACAGTGCATAAGGGTTAAATTAAATTAAAATGATCTATCTACCCACATCTATCTACCATCTACCCATGTCATCCAATATACTGTATCTACCCACATGTCCTATCTACCCATGCATGTATCTACCCATGTAACCATGTCTACCCATATATCTATCTATATATCTACTCATCTATCCATATCTCTAACCATATATCTACCCAGGTCTACCCATGTATCATCCCATCTACCATGTCAACCCATATATCTACCCATCTACCCATGTCTATCCATTTATCTACCCATATATCTATCCAATGTCTACCGATATACCCACAAATCTACTCATATATCTATTTACCCATATGTCTACCCATATATCCACCCATCTACCCATATATCTGCATATTTCTACCCATATATCTATCCAATGTTTACCTATATACCCATGTCTACCCATATTTTTTCCCCATGTGTCTACCCATATATGTAGATACCCACAAATCTACTCATATATTTCTTTACCCATGTCTACCCATCTACATGTCTATCCATATATATATACACCCATATATCTACCCAATGTCTACCCACATATCTATCTACCCACAAATCTACCCATATATCTACCCATGTGTCTACCCATACATCTACCCACGTCTAAACATCTACCCATCTATCTACTTATGTATATTCATATATCCATCTACCCATAAATCTACCAATATATCTATCTATCTATTAATCTACGCATATACACTTATATGTCTATCAATCCATCCATTCATCCATCCATCCAACCATCCATTTAACTGCCTACCCATCTCTTGTGGGATCACAAGAGATCTTTTTCCTCAGAAATGCTTCTAAAATGATCCTTACAGTCTAATGCTACATGCTTAGCACATTCGTGGGCATTCTCACTTTTTGTTTTTATAGAAAAACAGATGGTTGGGCTTTCAGGAAAGTGGGACATGCCAAATATAGACAGCAGCAGTAAATCATCCTCAACAACACACTGCTGAAGCGCTATAGAGAATCTCACAGTTTGAAATAGAGTTTATAAATAACCACGATACTGCCAATAGAGCCATACAGGACGGAAGAAATAGTTTTCAACACCCTCAGAGCTGACTGAAAACAGTATGCTAGATCAGAGAATCCACTCTAACCACTCACACATGGCATTGCATCCAGTATAAACTGTAAAACAAATCACACAGAACATCAACCATAAGATTTAGGAAGCAGAGACTGCTGCAATGGGAATCTATTTTTATTTAATATAATTCACAAGGCAGCGACCCCCAGCAGGCCATGAAGAACAAGTACCAAATACTCTCTATTCACATTTAGGAACATGTCAAGAAAACAAATTACAACACAACACATGATACAGAAATTCTCTTGAGGGGCAACTGATTTTAAAATGCTTATAATAAGATGCTGGAATATACAGAAACTAACCAAAGATCTTTATTAATTCAAAAATGCCATGTAATTATCTTTGTTTTGTTTGTTTCTTTGTATCATTTATGTGGAATCGAGAGAGGAGACCAGTCTGAGGAGGCATGTTGGGTGACCAATAACACTGGTTCCATACTTCTGCTACAATACTCAAAAGGCTAATATTACACCTTACGCCCATTTCCTACAGCTACTTTTCAGTCCCAGCTCACCATATTCAGGCTAAACGTACATTTTGAATTTTGCAAATGCATTCGCAAGAGCAGCTTTTCTGCTAGGCCTAGCACGTAAGAAGGAGGTGATGCTTCTCATCAATTTAAACTACAAGACTCATTCAGTTTCTATGCCGAACTATAAACGGAAATTCACAATAAACATTACAAATGAACCCGAAGGCAACAAACACTCACTGTAATTGCTTTCCCATTATTTTAATAGAGCTAGAGGGGTGAATCACAGTTAAACATGTACAGGTCATATCTTACCCTTTTTGTTGTTGTTGCTTTGAAATTATAATTTGCATAGGAAGCAAGGATCCCTATTTGTGTACCATTAAGATTATTTGCATTGTGACATTATTTTAAGGACATTATTTCCCCCAAATTCTCATGATTGCAATGCATCCAGAATTTTTTATTATCACAAGATTCTCATAAGACTCTCCTGTATTCATACTTCACAACTACAGTAAATATCCTTTTTTTTTTTGCATTTTGATATAATGTTCGCAACCCATTGTACTTTTGTATTGTATTTACTACACAAGTAAAAAATTCTATGTAGCAATGCAAAAATTCATAATGGTTGCTTGCATATTGGATTCTTCATTTTCTTTTCGCAAAATATAATAGTTTATTTTTCCTTTTGGCTTTGTGGTGAAATAATGACCCTGACAGTCTTTGTGAGATTCACCCCAAGAGAAACTTTAGAAATTTTCTTAAGGGTCAAGAATAATCAGCTAGAAAAGAATGAGATAAGTCTAATCAAACATAACACGGTGTATGTGAACCATTTCAAATGGATTGCATTACAAATAGTAAGGACAGGGATTGGTCATTTGTATTTATATTCTTTACAGAAAACATGGCTTGGAAACTTCTCAGTACATATACTGCCTGGATTTATAATATTTACATACGATACATGAGTCCTCCATATAGACTCCACTGTTAAAGGCCAGGACGTCACCTGGATCCACTTGCATTAACGTCATACACTATTTATCAGGCCCTTCACATTCCTGTTACCTTCACGGAATGTCAGTCATTATTACGATATGTAGTTAAAGGGGTATTTACCTCTCGTCATAGACCGACTGAACATCACTGCCTGCATTCTGAGTGTGAGTATTGGAGTGTATGCTTGTGCGTACCTCCTAAATAAACCTCCGACACAGGTAGCAGAACAATCAGGATGTCAAAGCCCCCGTTACGCATCTGTCATCTGCCCATCAGCCTCTGAAAATCATAAACAAGTGGCATCCACATGTACACTGCTGTATACCATGCCAGGAAAGGTCCATGTAAATGCTGTGTCTGAACACACTGTCCTTATTAGCAGTATACAGATTTTCTGCTGATGGGACATCTCAATATGTGGAGGCAGGTTTGGAAACCTGAGTGCGTTCAGGCAAGACCCAAATCCTGATGATGCTTTTGGATGCATCTGCATTAGCCAGCGCTTCATCCATGTGCGGGTTCAGAGAAAGTGTAAGGGCACAAACCCGATCTTCAACCTCAGTGTGTTCATGCTTGGACTGTTGATCATTTCAACATGTTTGCTGCTGTCCTTTCACCACAATCAGTTCTTTAGTATGGTTCTTCTGAGATGATTACACATCTCTGATTAGACTCTACATTCACAGACACACAAATAAACACATACAGGCATATTTTTTCCTTAGATCCAGGCACAAAGTTCAGAGGCATCAATCCGAACGTCAATCTAACACCGGTCATCCTCATCAGTGTCACTGAGAAGCTCGCAGCCTGACGTCCCCGACGTGGCTTGTGCTAGTCGTTTACGGAAATGTCCGTTAGGCACCTGCCAGGTGTGACGCAGTTGTGGAGCGGAGCTGATGGTGTTGGAGCGTCCCAGGCTGGTTGCCATGGCAGCCTCAAAAGTGAGAGTCTCCTTTACACCACTTGAGTTCGGACTATTAACGTCCTCCTGCAGTGGCAGGTATGGCTCCGAGATGTAGCGGTGAGGGGTGGAGTGGGCCATGGCGGTGCCTGGCCTCGTCCCGGTTGGTTCCTCCCCTTCCTCTGCGGACTGGGCCCGTGCCCGAACCTCCCCTTGTGTGGGTTGAGCACGGCACACTAATGGAGAGTAGGAGATGTGGGGCCGAGGCCGAGAAGGTGTCTGTGGGAGTTGACGGCGCCCTCGTGGCGTCCCTGAATCAGAAGTGGAAGGAACTGGGCTGCCTGAACTATTTCCCTATATGGATAAGAAGAGATGGGGTAAATGATTAAGGGTAAATATAGTGAGAGAGAAAGAGAGAAAGCAATGAGATGATGGAGGGAAGAAATAAAGGCATAATTATGTACATTACTGTTCAAAAGTTTGGTGTCTCTAAGATTTTGTAAAGTTGTTGTGGACAGAAGTTTCTTATGCTCACCAAGGCTACATTTATTTGATCACAAATATAGTAATATTTTATAAAAAAAAAATTTTGTAATATTAAAACAGTAATACTGTATTGTGAAATATTATTACAATTTAAAATAACTGTTTTCTATTTGAATATATTGTAAAATGTAATTTATTTCTTTGATGACAAAGTTGAATTTTCAGCAGCAATTTCTCCAGTCTTCAGTGTCACATGATCATTTGTCATAATAATTTTATTTTGCTGATGTGGTGCTCAGGGAACATATATTATTATAATCAATGTTAAAAGAAGTTGTGCTGCTTAATATTTTTTGTGGAAATCATGATGCATTTCAGGATTCAGGATTCTTTTATAAATAAAAAGTTCAAAAGAACTGCGTTTATTTGAAATTTAAATCTTTTGTAACATCGTAACATATTTTTTACTGTCACTTTTGATCAATTTAATTAATCCTTGTTGAATAAAAGTATTAATTTCCATCTCTAAACTTTTTAATGATACTGAAAGTCGGTGGGATTTTTTAAAGTCCAATCACTTAAAGAACTAATGGCTCACTTCTATTAAATTAACACCGTGATTTTATGATAATACCCGTAGCACAAATGGCACATGAAAAAGTGCAATACTCAGGATTAAGGGTTTGTTCAGATTACAAACCCTTAGCATTTCCTTTCCATAGCAAACACTAAATATTCTGCCAGGTCAGAGGGTGTGCACATGTGTTTGTGTCCTCACCTGTCTGAGGGTCGTGTGCTTCCTGCCCTCACTGGGCGATCGAGAGTGGCGTCTCTCCTGGGACTGACTCCTTTCCTCTGAGTTGCAGCGAGACACATCTGGAGACAGCAGGTGTCTTCGCTCTTTAGACCGTCCTCTCTCTTTGTCCACTGGCTCCCGCAGGCTTGACCTGACAGCTGCAAATGCACAAGCACAAGCAAATGTTAAGACAAGTGCAGACACAAAAATACACATAAATGTGGCCATAGCCTGGGCATCTTCATAAAGCACATACACATGTCCGATATCAATCCTGGTCCTGGGGACCCAGCAGTCTGCACATTTTGTATGTCTCTCTTATCTGATACACTCAATTTATTGAGCTCTCAACTGATGAGCGGATGAGCTGATGATCTGAATCAGGTGCGTTAAATAAGGGAGAGACCCCCAAGACCGGGATTTAATTATGTTTTTCAATATTAGTATTGACTTGGTACCAAAGTACCAGTGCTTTTGACATCCCTACTGCAAACTGACCTCTGAAGCTTCTTTGCCTGGGTCTTTCCAGTCTGTCTGGGCTCACCCTCTCCAGCGAGAACTCTTCCTGCCAGTCACCATTCACACACTGATCACCGATCGTGGAGAACGAGCGCTTCATCAGTTTGCTCTCTGAAGATACCTGCTGTACATGCACAAAATACAAAAACACATAGAGAACAAACAAAACACACACACAAACCCCAAGAGCACACATGCATCAACAAACAGAACACAAACACAGAGACAAAAATTAAACAAATTCATGTTATGCTGTAAGATTTACACATTCTCTCTCTTTGAAACCGTACATAGTGACATTAAACAATGTAAATGAAATGAGTTTCTGTATAAAAAAGTTTCTGAACTGAGCTCTAACAAAGGCAACCACCACCTCCTTACATTCCCTGCTGGAAAAAACAGGTTGGTCAAGCTGGTTAAGATGGTTTGTTTCTGGTAGCTGGTTACACCATAGGTCCCTACTAAATTAAATAAGGTGGTCCACCAGTTTTAAAAATTAAATCATATATAATATTAATAATTATTTTATACACTAATAATATATCAATATTATATTACTTTTATATTTATATAGATGATCAAAACTAAATAATCAAATATATTTATATAACTAGAATATTTTCAGAATTCATATTTTAAACACTATGATTCCATATTAATATTCTCAGAGGTTTTGCTACATAAACATGTTACCAAATCAAATCAGAAGCTGGTTTTAGTTTGAATTTCCAGCAGGGTTACACATTACATTCCCACCAAATCACAAACTACACCTTTCTATTCACTGCTTCCATTCTCTCTTTGGGATCAACTGCAACGCTGACGCTAACCACAGAGCAGATTTAGACAGAGCAGCTAGTTATCGCTAGGCTATGCGAACACAGGTAGTACCTGTGGCTCTATCGCCAGGCGAGGCATGGAAGAGGCTCGGATAGAGACGCCTCTCCCTGGCACTTGCAGAGGATCGACCTGCATGCTAGTGGGGCACAGCGGACTGCTAAATTCTTTGTGCTCGGGCACCTACGCAGTTAGAAAGAGAAAAACCGGGGAGGAGGGAAAGACATTCAGTCCACAACACTTAGTAGCTCTAAAGTCCCATTCACACCAAAAGCGATAACAATAGCTATAACGATAACTATATTTGCGTTCACACCAGCATTTTTTTTTAAGCTTAACGTACACACTCCAGTTTTAAAATGAACGTACAACGATGTAAGTGACCTGCTGTTGTTTTACGTTTTGCAAAGACACCAAAACGTTTTGCAAAGACACTGAAACTGATATCCTACATGAGATAAAGACGAAAGAGTTAAGAGAATCCGTCACTCTGCTAATAGAGTTTCGCGTTTGAAGACAAATTTATGCATTAATGCATTTACACGGCTTTAACCAGCAGATGTCTTCAGCATGCCTTGTTTTGAGCATATCAGTAAATCTAGCTAGCAACCCTCTACATTGCGAGTAAATCACTCGCATATGCGACTAAATCTTCACTCTGGCGACTAAATGATGTCTAATATTAGCCAATTGCTAATAAATTCTCAGATTTTACTCGCCAGTGTGTGAGTTGGAGGCTAAGTTGTGTCTGTGTATGTATGTGTATGTGTGTGTATATATGTATATGTGTATGTATATATTTATCAGTCTGGCGAGTAAACAAAAAAATTTACTAGCCAATGGCGATTCAATTGCCAAAGTGTTCGTAGAGGGCTGGCTAGTGTAATCTATTTGATTTAACATTGAATTTAGCTAATGCAGTCAATGTAGCGGAATAGTGCAACGCCAAAGGAGGCAAGACAATGTTGTCGAAACTAGTGCTGTATACATGAGGTAGTTTTATGTTTTCATGTTACTCTGTTTGCTCTGTAGAACTTCTCCGCGATGTCTTCTGCTATTTTAATGCGCAAGCCCTAAATTCAAATAAAGTCTTTCAGTGTTTTATTGTTCATCAGCTGTAAAAACTATTCTGAAATTGATCCCAACAATATTGTTTTCCTATATCGTTATAGTTGTGGTGTGAACTTTGCTATTCTCCTCAATTTAGAATGATTTTTATAACTTAGTTATCATTGACGTTCTTGGTGTGAACAGGCCTCAAATATCATCGCATTGTTAGGAGTGGACATAGAATAAAAATGCAAGGTTATGTACTAAAGTCAAAATAACCTGGCTAATCTTATACTCCTTTTTAGGAGCAAGTATTTATTTAAAGATAAGAAAAGATAAGCTTATATCCAAAAATGTCATAGAGGAAAAGTAAAGTGGCAAGAGGGAAGCACCATAAGCACAACATAGAGCCAATACGTATAAGCAACTCAAAGGGGGTGTAGAAAGTTTCAAAGCAGAAGCCACACATATTGTGCATACACACAAGCGCTCTTGCACAAAAGAGTTCCAAGCATAAACCAACTTAAAATCCCATAAGACATCTAGTGTTACATCACAGTTCATGGCAGAGAGTTACATCACAGTTCATGGCAGAGAGGCAAAGAAAAAGCTACCAGGAGGGGTAGAAAATAAAAGTACAGATAAGAGCACAGAAACACATCTAAGCTTGTGTATAACTGCTCACTGGTTATATAAGTGCTGGAAGTTATCTGGACCTGGCAGTCTAACCTTGAGAAACCACATCAATACACCCTTCCAAATTAAAAAAAAAAACAGCTCTCTAAAATCTCTCCCTTTACAAGGCCAGAAGGCAAATAATAAAGGGATGACAATAAAGCTGCAAATGTGAAAAGAAAATGAGTTAGGAAAAGTAGAAGCATAATGCAGGATTGTGAATCAGGGAGGTGATTTCCATGCAGATGACTTTCTGATAGATTAAATATCAATGCCAATTACAGTCTGTGCTTTGCAAATCATATCTCAAAATTAAGACTCTGAAAAGTTTGTTTCACTTTTCTATTCCTAAAACTTTTACAAATTGATCAGTGTCTGGCTGTGTGGTATTCAGACCCTGTTACCATTTGTATCAGTTTTCCAAACTGAATTATTCATAAATCGCTAGGGAATTGACTGAGAATGAGCCTGAATTCACATACAGTTTCAGAATTTTAAATAGATTGTGAATTTGAATGTTGTTTCAGTAACAAAGTAGCCATCAGGTATTTCATGCACATGTATAAAATAATGAATAAAACACATCATGCAAGACATGTCAAGGTGAGATGTTTTTTTTGTGTATTTAGTTTCTCCTACCATACTCTGAAGGTGATACTGGTGTTGGTATTCATCCCTCTCTTCCATGCTGTCTTGGGCCAAGGGCTGCATGAAGAGATCTTGAGGGGAGATGGGACTCAGTGCCACAAACCCACCTCTACTCCTGAGGAAACAACAGAGAAACTTGTCAGCTATGTTCATGTTGGCTTGTACCGCAAATAGGTTGCAAACTGTGGGTCCAAACATTGTTTTTGGCGATCAGAAATAAGATTTTTAGCACAATTCATTTCAAATGTTTGCGACATTGTGATTGAATATAATTAAAAAGATCAAGACCTCAAGCTGACCCAAGCTGGGACAGGTCAAAACGATCATTTTAAGAAGGGGGATATAAACATTTGATGCATAAAAAAAACTATATATTTTTTTATTATATAGCATAACATGTAACCGATAGGTAAATTGTATATTATGTAAAAGTATATATAACATTTTAATCTTTATTACAAAAATTGTGATTGTGTCTCTAATGCTTTAAAATACTGCACTGTATTGTGTATATACAGTGTATATACAGGAGCAGACCAGGGTTATTATTAACCCTAACCCTATAAGCTAAAACTAAAACCATGACAAAACATTTTCACTACTTAAAATATACATCAACTGAAATATATTTCAGCTAGTTGCCAAAGCAACATTTCTCATTTGAATTTAATTTAAGCTGAAGTACTAAAACAACAAACTAAAATAAACTAAAACTCAATTATAGAACTATATATTAATATATAACATATAAAAAATAATAATACAAATTACAAAAACAACAAAAAATTACTTAATTAAAAATAAAATGAAAACGGAAAATTCAAAATCTTAAAAACGATATTAGTATATCAATGATACTAAAATAAGGCTGGTTCAGACAGATACAGGGTGAATGTACTGTAAGTACACACACACACACACACACACACACACACAACATGTCTAATTACAGGGCAGATCCTGCACTGTGGGACAGGAATGGCAGAGCTTTGGCACTGCAGAGAATGTCCTGTGGCAGTGAAGATGCATCCATGCGTTGGAACATCGGTGCATGTTTCTGCAAGACAACATTAGATGGTCAGCACAATCTTTCCAACAACACAGTGATCCAGTACCCCAAAAAACAGTACATCTTTTTCAACTTTAGGAAGTTTACACTTCAAATTGAGATATAAAAGTTTTTTTGTTATGCGTCTTCTTTAGTAAAATGAACAGCATTCTATACAGTTAGATATATGGCATTGGCAATGTCAATGTTGCAAGCAGATTGAATAGGCATGAAAAGTCTTTAGCTCTGAAGTTCTAGTGCTGTAGAAAGTAAAAGACATCTTTACCTGTTCCTCAAGCTGTTGCCGGAGCTTCTTAGCTTTGTTCTGCTTGTAGTAGTCCATGATCATCATGGCTGCATAAATCTTCCCAATGGTCATGTCACTGGCTGGAAGAAAGATTTGTTTGTTGTGGAAAACTAAGATTTCTATGCCGGCTGCAAATTACACTCACTTTCTGTGGAGTTAGTGGGCGCCCCTAGTGGCCAATAATGGCGCAACAAGCTAAACTGTCAAGTTCAAGGTGAATTATACTCAGAAAATGTAAATAAAATGCTGTTAAATCTTTAAGAAAATATATATATATAAAAAAATTCTCACTCAGATCTCTCACCTTTGTGGATGGGTACAAGCAGATCAAGAGATTTCTGGGAGAGGTGTGGCCAGATGACACTGATTTCCTTCTGCAATTCTATGTCCATCTGACCCCTGTCCTCACCCCCTGATACACAAAGACCATTTAACTAATATTACTGTGGAAAAAAAGACAAATCACAGGATGTTTGATCTTTACAAAACTGAAAATTAGCAGTAGTGGCAACCTCGAGCGATTTTAATGTCCAGCGCGGTGCGTATCAGGGCCATAAGAGTGGAGGTGAAGTGGACGGACATGTCTTCATCCACTGGCATGTTCATCAGAACCAACCGCTGAGAGATAGTCACCATAAGGACAGAAGACAATTGAAACACAAGTATTGCAAAGCTTGGGAGTGAGCATGTTTTTAAAATAGTGATTTAATAGTCATCTAGGTTTAGTTGTCTTTTAACTTCTACAGTTAACACTAAGACGACGTCACAACATCAGACATTCATGCACACAGTTGAAACACATATACTGGATAGAGACAGATTAGAGATTTATGCATTGAAATTGTAAAAGGATCACACTTTATGAATATGCCCTTTGCAATATGTCTTTAACACTGGAATAAATGTCAGGGTAATGACAGTGTTTTGAAGACGTTAAAGTGACATATTCAAATAAAGTATCATTGGTGGATGTACAGGGACTTCACGGTAGGATGATTAAAAGACAATGACAAAGAATAACATCACTGATCTTCTACAAATTATAATATAACTATATGTATTGTAATTATTTGACATACAATGGTCCTAAAACCCTTAAGTTGTCACTGCATTAGAAAAAATTAAACCAAGTGCAAACTTTTAGCTAACTTGTGTTTCACAAATCATTCTCACTTGGTTCAATATGCTTTTACATAATGCAAAGATACAGAATTCATATTCTTTTAGTTTAAAGTGTCCAAATACATCTTCAGGACACTATAACTACGGCCCCGAGCTTGAGCCTCTTGAAACCAAGCAGACTTCATTCAAATTGTAATACTGCAGACTACCTTATACGCCACTTTGGAGGGGCATTTCTTGCCCAGGCCAAGCGGTGGCGACATGCAGGTCAGCATCTCGTACATATCAGTGTAATGAATACGGCCGCTAGGAGGGGGCAGTCACCAGGGGCAATGTGATGAAGAAGAGGAGGAGGAGGAAGAATTGGGCATTCCCAAGGAACGAGGGAGGAGAGGAAGATTGGCGTAGAGGAAAAAGGAAACAACAGAAAAGATAGAGGGAGAAGGAAGAGACAGGAAAGGGAAGGTCATTTTAATGTGTTTCATACTTAAGAAAAGAAAAACTGTCAAAAAGGGAAACTGATTAAACATAGAGGTGAGGTCAGGTGGAGGACTTTCTATGCAATGCCGGCATAGAAGAGGCTAAAGGAGAGAAAATATTAAAACAGCCAAAGATCTGATGAGTCAAGCAGGTGGATCTGAGGATTTGACTGGCTGTATTATAAAAGGAAGCACTGCTATTATAATAAATTAACACACAAGGAGCATTGTGCTTAGAGTCAGAAATTAACAAGGGCTCTGGTTAAAAATGGCAGCAAAAAAAAAAAAAAAAATTAAAGACTTGTTGAAAATCTAATTTTTTTTATGTATGTGTATGTGCGTATAAATAATATTTATTAAATATAATACACACATATAAAAAATAATCAAAAAAAATATAGTGAAATATAAAAATACAAATACTATATGTGTGTGTGTGTGTGTGATTAAATGTAATATATAAATATAATATAAAATATATAATTGTTTTATATAATGTGTTAAGATTAAATATATAAATTATTTAATTCTAATACAAAATATAAAATGGTAACATGCATGTTTTTTATAATAAAAAAAGTTTAAAATGTGCCCTCATAAGGTAAAAACAGCCAAAAAGCAAATATTTCCCCTTTAAAAATTAATTTTAATATTATTTTATTAATTAAAGTTAATTTATAAAGTCAAGTTAATGTAGGTCAGGGGAGAGATGAACATAATGTTCTCTTGATTTACAAACAGGTGAGGCAATGGCGAACATGAGGAGTCTGCCCTCCTCTAACCTAAAACCCACATTTATGCAATAATGGTCAATAAAAGCCCCAAATCCAATTCAGACACAGAGAGACTGAATCCCTACTGACATCCATTGGCAGTGTTAGATATTATCTAATGGAGTTCACTGATGGATGGCTCTCAGTGTTATTAACTGCAGCAGTTATTCACACTTCAGGAGAGGGACACGGGCCAAAGGGATGAGTTGTCTCTCTGTGCGCTGAGCTCTTGTCTCTGCCAGTCTTTGACCCGGTGGAAAGTAGCACTGGAGTAGATCACGGAAACGAGAAGGGGGTGAGGGGTGTTATCTAGAGAAGGAGTGGGGAATGATAAAAGGAGAGGAGGAGAGAGAGGCAGAGGGGTAGTTTTTTTGTGGGTGAGCCAAACCTTGCATGCCACCCTGTAGGGACAATTCTTTCCAAAGCCCAGTGGAGGTGATATTGTGCGTACTACTTTGTACATCTCCTTATAGTGTAGTTTTCCACTGGAGAAGGAAATACTGGCCGTTAACAGTAAATTAGACAACTTCGAGATAAATGTAGTAGGAGTGGTTATTTTTCATGAAATACATTTTAAAGGGGTCATACCATACATTAAACCAAAAACCATCATGATACAGCTATTCCATTTTACACCCTTTCTCTGAATTGTAGAATCAAACTGCTGTAATTTTGCAGCTGTAATTTTCAAAATAAATGCTCAGACAACCATTTTCTGCAGGTTAGTGTCAGTAAATGAGGTCCAAATTCAGCAAGAGTTTGCTTTCTTAGTGTGATTAACTCTTTAATCTCAAAAGACCAAAGAACATGTGAAAATTCCTCATGATATGACCCCTTTAAATAATCCTGTAAGGTTACAAATTAGTGTAAAGAAAGAAACAGAAACATTAATGACAAAGCAAATTTCCCTGAAAATTTTATTTAAATATGACATTCATTAGGCATACGTTTAAAAAAAATTGTAAATAAACAATTGTATGTATTTATAAATACCTTATAATCAATGAAATATTATGTTGCAGAATGAGAAAATAAATCTTTTTTGACATCTGTGATGCATGTGATCAACTGAAAGGAGTGGAATGCTGTATCTCTCACCATGCTGCACGGTCATACTCTCCCCAGATCCGTACAAACTCATCCAAGTGGTGAGGACCCAGAATGGACGAGTCACGTGTCAGGTACTCAAAATTATCCATAATCACGGCCACAAACAGATTTAGCATCTAAAAGAGCGTTAGAGATGTGAAAATAGAGACAGCGAAATAGACAGAAAGCAGAAAGGTATTCAGAGTGAGCTTCAGAGTGTTAAGCAGTGGTGGATATTCATGTTTTCAATGATGCTAGTTTCATTTTAATCAAAATTTTTGAATGTTTTTTTTTTTTTCATTTTAAAATCTCACCATATATATTTTATGTGCCAAAAAAATGGATTTGGTGTGAATAGGTTCTGAGTGTACAGGTTTGTAACGCTGAGTATTTGTGTCATTAAAATGAATTGCATCTCACCAGAAAAGAACTGAAGAAGATGAAGGAGACAAAGTAGAAGTATGCAAACTCGGTACCACAATCTTTTTTCTCATTTGTTGTTGAGTTGTTGAGAGACTCATCTTTTTCACATTCCTTCTCTCCTAAACACGATAACATGATTTCCTGCCATGACTCACCTGTTGCACTCCTAAACACACACACACACACACACACACACACACACACACATATGTATATCATTAATTAAGTCACATTTATTCATCCCCAAAGGGTGGACTGCTTCATTGTATTAGCTTCCTAGTAAAATAATTAACATGCCATAAAATGTAGCACCCATTTTTTACAACAAAAAAAGAAGTTAATCTTACCTAAACAACAGCATGAGTGCACCAAAAAATGTCTTAAAGTTATTGTGTTCGTTGATATGGCTTTTTGGATTTAGCTTGATGTTGCCGAATACCTTTAGTGAAATTACAAACACATAAAAGGTGTCCGTCACATTTTCAGGCTTAACGAGTTAAAGTAATAAAAAAAGGTGGGAAAAAAAACAAAGGAAGAGACAGAGAGAAGAATATAAAAATGGACAGTCTGGGGACAAAGACAACCTTTACCTGCATGCCAATGATGGCATAGATGAAAAACAGCATGGCGATTAGCAGACAGACATATGGTAGAGCCTGCAAGACGAATCTCATGTTAAACACTAAACTCAAACATTTATATTAAATTATATTTATTTACATTTCCTGATGAGAATACCTGTGCTTGCAAAGCAGTTCAAAAATATTGTGTTAAAGTTTTAGGTAGAACAACTATTTCCATTAATAAACTATGCAACCCAGATGCTTGATAAAGACCCATCATTATTCAATAATGTGCAAATATTACAATTACATAACTGCTGGTAGTTACTGAATAGCAAGAACAAAAGTTCAAAGCTTACAAAAAACACAAAGCAAATTAAAGTTGAAATTATCTACAAAACAAAGGTTTAATGGTTTAAAGTGGAAGTAACATTTTGTAAAAAAAACAAAACAAAAAAAACAATACAGTGCAAAACTTTGAGTGGCTTTTATGAAACTGCAGAACAGCAGAACTCTGAATCTATTCTCTAAAAGAAAATATTCTATAATAGGCATCTTTGGTTAAAATAAAAGCAAATAGAGTTTTTAGAAGTTAAAAAAGAAGAATAAGGCCCCGATCAGACAGAACGCATTTTTCAGGTTTGAAAACACGAGGCGCACCACACTGCCTTTTTTTGGTTGATTTTTTTTAATTTATGAAAAGAGCAGTGCGCTGCGTTTATTTTTATGTTGCCAGGAAACTACGGAATCAGCTGTCCTGTCAGTCTAATCAAGGATTAGCACGAGTGCTCTAAAATCTTTGGTTTGCTGTTAAGTAAACTGTCATATTAGCAGAAACTTAAAAAAAAATAATACAGCCCTGCGACAGCCACCACAAGTTTCTCTTCCATCATTGCAGTCTCCGGACTTCTCAAGCAACTGTAAACTTTCGTCACCACAATGGAAGGCGTTGGACATTAAAAAAAAAACAAAAAAAAAAAAACGAGAATGACACCGGGCGCTTTTCTGCTTAGAGTCGCTTTTTTTCAATTTCAGGAGCTCCGAGCACTCCTACAAAAACGTGAGGCGCAGCTGGCGGCTAAATCGCGAGGCGCCCGGGGCGCATAAAAAGCGCACATAATGCTCACTGCCTATAGAAAACAATTAAAAAAAGGTGCCTCTCACTGTAAAAAACACATTCTGTCTGATTGGGGCCTAAGGCATTTCAATGTAGTGCTACTGCAGTAAAAGCCATGCCTGACCTTGAAAGACTGGACAAAAGTCCAAAGCAGAATACGGATGGTGTAGCCCTGACGCAGAAGTTTAATCAGCCGAGCTGCCCGGAATAACTTCAGGAAGCCCATATTAAAACTCTGCAAACCAATCAGAACACAGAGGTGATTGTTTATGCAAATAAATACTGGACACAACCCAATCTGAATTCAAAGGTCACTGCTTGTTGAAATAAATACTGAGCACATAGCAATCACAATCTCCTGCACAAAGGAGCTTGCTCGTGCAAATAAATACTGGCTAAAAAGCAATTAGAATACGTATGTAATTGCTCATGCATATGACTACTGCCCACAAAGAACACATACTGTATATGAGGCTGATTGATTTCTCACTTTTGCTGTGTGGACTTTGTCAACCACAATTTCAGTGATGCTTCCTAGAACTGTGATGAAGTCAAATATATTCCATGTGTCTCTGAAATAATTCTGAAAGATATAAAAGTAATAATGAATGCTAGAAATGCATTTCATTGTATATATACAGTATATACTGTATATGTACAGTGTATATAAATATATATATATAGAAAGAAAGAAAGAAAGAAAGAGTTATCATATTTCCAGTGTTTACTTACCATAATACCAAATGCCAGGATCTTGAGAACACATTCCACAGTGAAAATAACAGTGAAAACAGTGTTGAGGTATTTTAGTACATTGTCATAGCCGTCAATAGGGTCATGATGCTGATAGAAAGCAAAAAAGAGAGACAAACAGAAAGGTTTTATTTTTTTCCACTAGTTTTATATATAACTTATTTTTACAATTTACATATCTATCTATCCATCCATCCATCCTTCAATCCGTCCATCCATCCATCTATCTATCTATCTATCTATCTATCTATCTATCTAATAACCACATCCTAGCAAACACTCAAAACACCTTAGCAATTATTTGGTAATGTCCTAACAACCACCCATAATGCCTTAGCAACTGTCTAGCAACATACAGTAACACCCAAGCAGCAACAGGCTTGCAACTGCCACCCAAAATAGCTTAGCAACCAGAAAAGCACCAAAGCAACAAATGAGCAACACCCCAGCAACCACCTAGAAACCAGGGCCATTGAGTGAGAGAGAGTTGTGTCATCTCCATTCACTCCAATAGACCATTTTGTTTTTTATGGCAATGGTGGATCATGGAGCCTATACTATACTGCACACTTGCAGCAGATGAGACCATTGTCTGGGACAGTCTACTGGATTAGTTATCATTATCATAAAATAATTTCTCTTAATGCAGTTTCAACTATCGTTGTGTAATTCGAGAAAACGCTTCTTTTGAACTTCCTATTGGTGTGATCTTTGTGGAAAAGTGCAAACACCGAAGTATGATTACATCACTTTTTTTGTTGTTGCTGTTGTTGTAGTCTTTACAGCCATATTTAGATTTTTACCCCTGCAAGGACATTCAGATGATGCCAACTCTGAATCAACATACAAAATGTTTTTTTGTAACATTACTTCATCACAGTCACATTTGATAACAGATTTGTAATGTAGAAACTAGTGCTGTGCGGTATACCGGTTCATACTGAATACCGGTGTTTATTTTTGTTATGATATGAATTTTTAAAATACCACAATACCGGTGTATGTCAAAAGCAAATTATGCTCCCTTCGAACTGGTTTTCTTTCAAATACAAATCTTTGTAATCCCAGGCTATTAAACAACGTTTGGAACGCGACACTATTTGAGAGGGGTCCCTTTTCACTGTTGCACTGTGGTGAGGACACAGCTGTATGTGTTACTAAGCGTGAAAGTTCCGAAACTGAAGCTGTAGAACTAATAGAACGTGATGACACAGCAGAACTCATCCACAATATCCACATTGACCGCCACAAATATCCACCGCCCCCTGCCATCAGCTCCCGCGTCTCACACACACGAGC